TTTCTTCCGTCAACACAACAGAAAACAATATATAAAAGCATCGTTTTTTTTCTGCTGGAGGGGGGGGCTTTCAGCCCCCCTTTGCCCCCTATGGATCTGCCCTTGATAATACATTTCAAGCTTAGTATTAGCAAGAGCAACAAGAAAGATGCAAAATGAAGCATGCAACAAAACCTACACCCTTACCATGGCAGGGGCAGATCCAGGAATTTTAGAAGGGGGTGACTAATATGAAGGTTTTACCAGGAATTTGTGAAAAAAGGGGGATGACTGTTCTAACAATATACTGAAAAATTTGAGCAAAAGGCGGGGATGACTAGTCACAGTGTCTTACCACCCCTGGATCCACCCCTGCTTATATATATTGCTCATAAATAAATAAATAAAATTCCTTTTTTGGATCTTTGGACCAACAAACTTGCAATCATGAGTGAACCATATCATCAGTAATAATCCTTACTTTACTCAGAGAAATGGTTGTAATAACTAATCCCTTGTGCTAGAAATACAGACATTAGATTCAGAGCAAAATTCTTAGTACTTTGTTTTTAAAAAATTCACAGGGGTACAGGAAAAGGCATACAAAGGTCTGATGTGCATGCAGAAGCAATTGGGGAATTCACAGCAACTAGAATTCACCTTGTTCTTATTACATGGCACAAATCAAGAAATTGAAACACAGGTATACTAAACTACTATTAATAATATTTTATAATATTATGTAACGACTAGTAAAGCCCAACTTACTTATAGATTTATTGCTACCCATTATCATTGAAGTGCGATCCATGAAGTTTGATGTCATATGTTCACCAACCAGCATTTCAACAACTGTCAATCAAAGAACCGAAATAAATACCAAACAATAGAGAACAAATAATATCTTGAGGGAGATTTTGGATGCATTATAGATTTTAATCCTTTAATATCTTTAACATACATGGATAAACATAAATAAATAAATAAATAAATAAATAATGAAAAATGAGTTGATCACCTCGTGTATTCTAAGAAAAATGCCTTTCATTTCATCATGACAGATTAGTGCAATCAATCAGTTTGTGAAGAGCAAGATACCACCTGGAATACTAGTTAACTTCCTAGAGCCTTCTTCAGATGATGACAACTATACCTTCCCAGTTCCATTATGTGGCCAAGGATATGTAAAGTGTGATGTCAACGTAAATGGCAATACCTGTTGTGTCCGTTTTTACCATGACGAGGTATATAGCAAATATAGATGACTTGTATACTAACAGGTCACTGTGTCCAAATAAAAAGCAGAAATGAAAAGAGCACCCCAATATTTGCCATATGATGTTGCAAAACATCAAATTGAACATTAATATAAACATAATTATTAAATATCATGTTAAAATTTAATTCACCAGGTTTTTGTTTCAATTCCTGATATTAAAGAGAAAAGTGGAAGGTGTATAGATGGAGCACCTGCACATGAGACGCGACTTCACGACCCTGACCTACCTGCCTGTATAAGGTTCTCCCTTTTCTGTAAAACGCCAATGGAGATGCGAACCCCAACCAATTTCAAAGTGGTTCTTACCACAACAGATGAAAATAGGACAGAGATATTTGGCAACCATAAAGCCGAGAAATATTTTTCAGCTTGCGTAAGAATTATATATCTCACTTTAGGGATCATTCATTATTTATGCCAGGGGGTGGGCTGGCAAGAATGAGGGGCATCAAAAATTCAAACTATTGCAAGGGGAAATCACAAATGAATTGCTAATAAAAAGCAGGAGATACTGTTAATGTTTGGGAAGTGGGGACTTGATGTTTTAGCTTGAAAGAATCTTGCCAGCCCCACCCCCCTCCCTCTGTTGTTCATAATAAATGATCCCTAAGAGATTACTTTTAATCATCTTTAGATGTACTGTTTTACTGTTTTTCTTTTACTGCTTGCCCTATAGGCCTTCCCCAACATTGGGCCATTCAGATACACAATGTACTGCCAAACCTCAGTTTAAATGCAATATTTCTATGTTATTGAACTGGATGATTAGACAATTGGGCTTTAGGTAGAGTCACTAGAATTTTAAACAATATGTCAGCATGGCCAATAATAATAACTGCTCCATCAAGAAGGCAAAAGTTAGTAAGTATGATAAACATCTTGGCCATAATGTATTTCAAGGGCAAGGTCTATTACCTGGGCAAATATCAAATGAGGATCCACTAGAAGTATCCAAGAATGCATCGCAAGTGCGATATAACATTTTTGCTTTTAAACAACTATAAAAATGAATATTTTCAAAATCGAAGAATCAATTGTAAAACTACATATAAAGTAGAGTGTATGTCATGTCCTCTTAGTGATATCTGTTTCTAAATTCTTCAAGAGATTTAAAGATACTAGTCAAAATACTGGTTGAGCATTCAATTCAAGCTTAAAATAATCCAAGTCGAGGCTCGAGGGAATTTAAGAATAATAATTACCAATGATGTCATTGTTTCCACAGAGCCTTGACTTGAAATGTTTCGTACTTGACTGCTAAACCAGAAATTATATCGAAAGTTGGCTATTGGCATTTTCTTGAAAACCCATCAGACAGCTCTGAAATATTTCACAAGAGAGCATTATTTTAACATGTCTGCCTATAAGCTACTTAATAACATTGTTTCATTTACCTACTGTTAGTTTTATGGTACAGACGAAATGTCGCAGAAGAACCCAAATGCAGGTACAGTAGGTACACCATAATTATTAGTCTTCAAGCTGATTAATTGAATAATTTAAATTTGATTGTTACATTTATGACCACACAGTAGCTCAGACCTTTTGCAGTAATTCTACAGCTGTCCAATTCAGGGGCCTGCGGATCTAGGGGTTGTTTTGGGAGTTTGTCCGAATCCCCTATAACCTCCAAATGGAACTCTTGAATAATTGGAAATACAAGCCTCAATTCTAGTACATCATTTCGATGATATTAAAGTACTTAAGAGACATTACCAAACCCAAGATAAAGGAGAAGTGTAGTACATGTCCAGGAAAGAAGATAGCCAAGCCAATCTACAGCAGACATTTGTTTCTTTTTTGGTTGTGCAATTATTTTTTGAAACCTCTTAGTACCTAAAATCCTGGATCCACCCCCACGATTCTGAGTGTAATAGATGACTTGCACTAACAGGTCACATGTCCCTATCCCCCTTATAACAAATAAATGAGTCAAAATTAATGATCTCAAGAAATGAAAAGAGCACCTCACCTCAAATTTAGTAAGAGGGCAGGTTTCAGCTTGAAATGTTGACTTATAGAAGAATATAAAATCAAATATTTTACAAGGATTTGTTTGGGAAAAGTGTTGGCTGGTAAGCTTTTGCCATTCAGCACATTTTCCCATACAAACAAGCATGAAGACTAGTTTTCTTGTTTAAAATCAGGCAATTCCTTGATGCCATTGAACGACTGGAAAATCCTAGTGGACAACCACGACAACATTTGTGATATTCAAGATTGGGATGCTATCATAAAATGGTTTGTAACTGATGGGGCCCTAGATAAGAAGTTCCTTAATGAAAGCTTAAGTAAAGAAAGAAAAGGTGAGATCATGCGACATCTCTATCAAGTTGAGAACATTTTCCATAAGTTTATTGATGCTTTACAGACAACAGGAGGTAATGGAGAATTGATCAACTTATTGCTTCAGTGCATGGCATCAATGGAAAATCAAAACTCTAGTTTGTAATTATATTAGTTATTTTACTTGCCCATGAAAAAAATTAAAGTTCCTATGACCCCTAACTCAATATTTTCAGCATTGATTTTAGGTTAGGTGAATAGTCGAATGGTGAAATATTTTTATATGATTTGAGTG